AAGATACGCGAGCGCCGAAGAGAGCAGGTCGCAGCTCAGAAAAGCCGACTCCTGTGAAGCGAATGCCTCGAAAAGCGTCCGCAAAGCCTGAGGAGACGGACGAGAAGAATGAGAAGAAGAATGAACGGTCGATATGGAAGAAAAGGCGTGGAACCAAAGCCAAAGCAAGACCAGCAAAGAAACAGAGATTGGCTGAGGGCGATGGTGAGCCGATGGCTTCAAGACCAGCTGTAACCCTACTTCCGAGGGTCCACCAAGGCTTTCAAGGACAGATGGATGACGAGGTGCGTCCTTCAGACTCTATCAGTCAGGTCGGTATCGGGCCTTACGAGAAGGAAGGCTTCAAGGGTGTGGCAGCATCGGGAGCAGGATCGGTGAAGTCAGAGCTGATCTCAGAGGTTCCAAGGAAGAAGAAAGAAGATCCAAAGAAGAAAGACGAAGTCAAGAAGGAGGATGAACCCCATGTGGCAATGGGACCTCCACGTCCAGTCCGAAGGGCCGTGCCCGGTCGTGACCGGACTATGCATCCATTTCAGTCACCGATATTTCCACCACCACCGCCGCCTCCAGTGACGCCAGATACACCGCCAGCAGCAGAGACAGCCCCCATTCAGCCGCTGTTGAGTCAGCCGTTGATCGCGAGTGCAGTCCCAGCAGCGTCGGCGCCACCGTGTCTAGGAGCGGGCAGCGTCGCGCCGCCAGGCCAGCTGCAGTTGTCAACAGTCCCGTCAAGGTCATCAGCAGCAGTCTCATATACATGTGGAAAGGACATGGTTTTTGTCGAACTGTGTTGTGGTCGAAATTCATGTCTGAGGCAGGCTTGCGTGAAGGTAAGCGTATCCTACATTGGATGCCATGATTGTCTTCAGGAAAAGCTAGTTCAGATGGATATCATTGAACTTCTCTCTTCTGTTTGTCAGGGATGCAGGATCGAGCCCAGGGTCCACCGTCGATTTGAACTCGGCCAGTGCGGAACCAAGATTCACGTACACATTTCTCTACCATGTACTGGGGGAAGTCCAATCTTGAACTTTCGTCAGCAGCCCAGGGAGAAACATGTCGAGATCTTTGAGGAACTAGCCAATTCAGTCGATTGTCTTTTGAAGAAGGTTGAGGAGGTTCACGGAGAGGTATCCAAGAGTCTGGAGCTACCAGCAAACAATCATTACTGGAAGTCAGAAGTCTTGAGAAAGGTCTTGTCGAACCAGCATCTAGAGTTTGAAGGTATCGTGAACGGATGTTCAATGAAGATGTTTACCAAGAGTCAACAACCAGTTGGAAAGAGGTTCAGGTTTATGTCAAACCGGAAGGAGGTTGCAAATAGGTTAGCGGAAAGGTTCTAAATGTCAGTGCATTGTCGAGCGCGCAGCTTTCAACATGTCAATTGGACAGAGACAGAACGATACACCCGAGTGTTCGCTCGATACTTTGTTCGGTTTCTGAGGCCTCGAGTGTTGTGGTGGATTCTTTGATGGAGGTTGAGGCCCTGGTGCGTGAATTGGAGAAGAGAGCCCAGGATGAAGGATTGGGGTCCCGGCCATGCGCTTTCTGACAAATCCCTGTCAGAGCTCCACACCTTCACTAAGGTGACCAAATGGCGGATCCAACAGCTGCGTGCGGGATCGAGGCTCTGGGCATACGCCTACTTTGAGAGATACACTATGCTCAGCAGTAGTGGCCCAGAGGTTCCCCAGTTTGTGCAGAATTTGAGGGCCAAAGGGGACGAGGTTGTGAAATACGCCCTCTCAAAGTTTGGGGAATTGAGCGAGGTGAGCGCCAAGCTCAAAGAATACGTTGGCACCGTGATGCAGCGCGATGCTGATGTCAACCAGCACGGCGTTCAGACCCTCGATGCCATTAAGAGTATGGCGTCCGGTGTTAGCGGAATGAGTGCTTCTGTGAGGGTGGAGCAGGACGCTGCTGCCCAACACCGCGGTGCAACCACGAAATTGCTTCGAGAATCTGCCTGGCGCATTGCCGGACAAGGCAATCAGCAGACAAGATCCAGCCTAAAGGAACTGCTCATCAACGGGGTGCGCCTCGATGATTGAGTCAGCAGACTAGTATCCTTTCTGAGCTGCTGGAGGTACCACCATTGGTACCGCCTTTTGCTCCAGCGCCAGCGTCCCCACCACCAGGTAGTTTCGGTGCACCTTCAACCCCCATGTCGGTGCCAGCTATGTCGGCGCCAAGTGCACCATCGCATGGGAGTTCGACTCCGGCTAGCTCGGTTGAGCCGCTTTGGAAACGGCAACGCATGCCGCATGCCTGATGGGTCCTATCAGTGGCAAGAAGTCTTTCCCGACGTCTGAGGAGGATTACCGCCTAAGCTGAGTAAGGCCTTGAGTGTAGCACTCTTCGATCTGGCTGCAGAAAGAGTTGGGGGGCGTCATAATTTTTGTTTGCTGTTTGATGTGTCAAGTTTCTTGTTGTGGTGAATTGAGCTTGGATAGATTGAGATTTGCGACAGTTTCCATCTTGTGTGAGTCAAGGGATGTGTACTCTTAGAGGGATCAAGTCTTCGAGAGTTTGTTCACTTCCTTTTTCTTGCAAGGAGACCAGTGGATAAGGCGAGAGACTGGGAATCTGCGAGAGCAAGGGTTGTAACTAAGGATTTGTGTGAAGAGTACCTGTACATGAGAGTTGATGCTGTCTGCAAGGGTTTATCTAAGATGTGGATTGCAGTCGCCTGTAACTAACAGGGTTTATCTAAGAGGAGTGGAGTGTGAACAGTAAAAGGGTTGGTAGCTAGAGGGTTATCTAGATTCCTTTTTGTTCCACTTGCTGTCGAGTTGAGCTCTTGTGCACTTTTGTCCTGGCAGGAACTTTAGCGGTGTACGTCTGTCGTTTCGGCCTGTCAGGTGCCGTCTTGAAAGCGTCGAACCTTCAAGATCCCAAGGATGAGGAAAGACAGATCATTAGGAGCCATCTCTGTGAGGCTCCAGAAGATTTGTCCTCTGAGGGATCTTGTATGGCTGAGCTTGTTGTCCTGCTTGGTTGATCTTGGTTGATTGAGTTTAGGCTTGCGTTTCGCTTGTCGTCTTGAATTTGTGGACGTTTGATCGACCTGGAGACCAGTTTGGAGGACAGGAGTTGAGATCTTAGTTGACGCTTGAACCTTAGTTGCTCAGAGAAAACGAAGAGAAGAGAAGAAGAAGACAGGAAGAACCAGAAGAAGGTACGAGGTGAACCAAGAAGGGGTGTGAAAAGTGTGGGTAGTACGCCTGTACAGTGTGTGGATCACCTAGTACCTGTCTGTAGTGGAACTTGTCGTTTTTCGGTACTTGGGGTTGGAGCTGGATAGGGATCTTCCTTGTTTGGATGTGTTCTCTTTGACCTCCTTAGCAGGATAAGGTGGAATGTGACCAAGCGTGGCTAGGAGTATCTTTGGAGAAGCCTTGGCTAGAGCTGTGTATAGCTTGGAGTAGCTTGAGAGTGTTTGGAGATGCTTTCTTGTTCTTTTACCATGTTTGGGACGACTGCGAACAGTCAGACCTCTTCAGAAGAAGAGATGATAGACTTTGATACAGTCGAACCGACTGTGATGTTCGGCTCAAGAGCGGGATCCAAAAAGGGAAAGCCTCGGGCCTTCCATTACAACGCAAGGTACCACACCCCGTTTGCGTTTGTACAAAGTCTTAATTGGGTCGGAGTGAAGAACTTCCAGAAAACACAAAGACCAACAGAAACCCACGAAGCGCAACCTTAACATTGCAGTCCCGCTTCTTCAATCGGGCGCTCCACAACAAAGGCTTGGGCGTGGGTTTGGCCATTGATGTGTGCAAATAAGTTACATTTTCGGGTGAATTTGTAAGGATGCGTTTCGTGGGCTTCTGTTGGTCTTTGTGTTTTCTTGGAAGTTCTTCACTCCGACCCAATTAAAACTATGTAAAAACGCAAACGGGGTGTTGGTACCGCGCATTGTAAGAGGCCCGAGCAGTACCGAAGCGGTACCGAGGCGGTACCGCGCATTGTAATAGAGGGCCCGAGCGGTACCGAGGGTGTCGCAGCCTTTTGTGTTGCGGTCATGTTAAACCAGTGGGAAGGCGACTGGCAAGGGCAGAAGTTTTCACCCCACGGATGTCGATGCACAGGCTCATGAACGCAACCGGCCTTAAGTGGCCCAAACTGACCTTTGAGAAAAGGTCCGCGCCGCGCCGTGCGTTTGTCACATATGTTTCCAAAACAATATTTATTGTTTCATGCCAACCTTTGTTTTGACCAGGTGGACACTGCAAACTTATTTTGTACGGTGCAGCATCAAAAGGTTAAATTCATTCCACAGCCTCCAGGACTTTATGAGACTACACCAAGATTTTGCGGGAAAAAATGCGTGCTGTCGACTTCTGAAATCAAGCAGCCGCCCATTTCTGTGTCATTTGTATCATTGCCTTTGCATGCGATTGTAGCTTTTGTTGCTGCAGGTTCCAGCGCATGGAATCGTGAAACATTTCTAACCCACTCAGTTTTGAGGATCTATTTTCATTCTGCTTGATGAAAACACAAACCTTTGATGTAAGATCTCCGCACCAACGTGTCCGGATGTCTGTCGTTGATGTGGTTTGATTTGAAACATACAATGCTAAAATCTTCGATCAATGGGTGGTTGTTCCATAAATTTAGGATAGAATACTTTATTGACAATTTTTTGTATATTTTTCCCGGATATCCAGTTTTTGGCATGTGCTACAACAATTGTGCAACTCCTGCCTTGCAACATTGACCATGTCATGTTCGTCATGAGTTCCAGCAGAGTTTTTTTTTGAAAACATGTGAAGCTTGCGGAATGTTCAAGTTGCACCATTCGGCAGTTCATACAGGCAGGATGTCCTACAGCCTATGTTTCAAAACTCCCTTGCTGTTGAATTTGTAATCGCATTGCCGCATCCAGTCAACTTGTTGTATGCTTACATTTAACGTTAGTTGAAGGTAGCATCTCTTTTGCTTCGCTACAACTTGCACCTCGACTCAGTTCAACAGATGAAGTGGGGGCCTTACATTTGAGGATCTTTGAGCAGGTCGTTGGCTCAAAAGGATCCGTTTTTTCCGACCCAAAACGATCCACATGGCGTATAAAGAGGCGCGGGCCTTTTCCAGTCGAAGTTGGCCATTTATATGATTTCCAATGCATCCTTTAAAATGGAGCTGTATTTGGAAGTGTTGAAATGAGACTCTTGGAGTGTGTCCTGATTCGTTTGCTTTGATTAAGAACCCCGAGGAGCCACCGAAAATCGCATCAGACGGGGTGGAGGTGCGGTTCGAGGTGGAGAAAAAAACCAATCACGGGGAGGAGGTTTTCGTCTGCGGTGGCCGCTGGGCCTGATTGGTGCTGGGAAGGCGGTCTCGCCATGTCATTTGGCTCTGATAAAGAACCCAACCAGAGCATACCAGAACAAAATGGTCTACAGAGAGATGCTCACTTACCCTTTGTTTTTAATTTGTTCTGACGCGCATGTATGCTGCAGTGACTCCTTTCGTCTTAAATGAAATGACATGATGAAACAATCCAGTTGGGTATGATTCACATTCTAAGCTGATTGTGGATCCCTTTCATTCATCCTGTGCCATTTTTGCCTTTTCAATGCTGGCTCACTGCTCTCCGAGGTACTGACGCACTTGGGAATTGGGATGTCCGGCACGCACGTCCGCTCTGCTGTGAAACGACATATCCCTATTGGAGGGCTGATGCTTGGTAGTGAAATGGGCCGACTTTTGAATACTTTTGATCTATTGAGCGTAATGAGTTGGCTCTAACATGAAAATGCTGGCTTGGGAAACTGTAATGTTGGAACTCTTCATCTGTAATTTGAGCGTAAGGTAATCCATTTTGATTCTGCTGAAGCCGGGAAGACCATCGCCTACAAGTATTTGGTGCAAAGCTCATCACAGGAGTGAGCCCGTTGTATATCGGTAGATTGGTAGATGATCCCTGTACACCGGTCGAAAACTTGAACGCACATTTGAGTCTGTGGCCCACATATCCTTCTCCACTGATTTTCTCAATCACCCACTGGTTATTGGAAGTAAAGCATATGCATATATACTTTTGACGTGCTGGAAGCGCACAACTTCATATTTTTGATATTTTTTGGTCCTTGTTCTATTAATATTCACTTCAATTCTTTCCAGGAGCCAAAGTGGGAAGATAGTCCTAACCGGAGTCTCCATCTTTTGGAACTCCCGCGCTACCGGCTCCAGCGGCTTGGAACCTATCTTTCCCCGGGAGAGGAGGGACCAGAACAAGATAAGACAGAAGAGGAGGACAAGGCGGGGATTGCAGTGCCAGGGTCCTTTTTTGGCATTGCTGGCAAGGCTGCTTCACAGAGTTGGGTCAACAAGAGCTTCATCGACTTTGAACAGAAGTTGCACCATATCCAGGACTTAGCCGAAAAAACTCAGGAGCAACAGAAGAGATTGCAGAGTGACTACGACAATCTTCTTCAGAAGCAGCTTCAGACAAAGGAGCTTGAGAATCTACAGAGACGCCAAGACTCAATGGACAAACACAGCGAGCAATCAGCAAGGGAGCTCGAAGAGCTTCAGAGACGCCAAGACTCGATGGACAAAGAGCAATCGGATCGGCTTCAGAAGCTTGAGGAGGAGGTCGCAAAAGATGTGAGCCAGGTTCTTGGCTCAACAGCTTGTGTTCCTTGTGAACCATTGCGTGGCTTGAGAGTAGGAATATGGCATACTTTAGGTTTGGTCAGCCTTACCTCTTCAGATTTCCAATGAGCTTCATTCAGCTCAACACCCCTGAGGTGAGACGACAACTACACGACCTCCGGACTCAGCGCACGGGCACTTCCGTCAAGACTCAGGTAGCACCACCGGAGGCTCTTTACAAGGTCAAATTGGATGCCCGGCATTTGGACTCCGAGCTCCCGGGGTCAAGCTTCCCCACCAAAGGAAGCTGGAGTGGGGAGGCTGTGGGGGCCAAGATCGTGACGAAGAGTGGCTGTTTTCTCAAACTGAAGCTTTTGGCCATGAATCATAGCTTCTTCATCAAACCAGCTTTTCCAAGGCACAGCTAGAGACAATTTCAAAGCTCCGGCTTGGAAGCAGAACGCCCAAGAGCTGTTCTCGTAGAGATGAGTTCAAAGTAGAATGGAGAAATATGATTGACCTGAGCACTCCAAGAGAATCTCATGTTCCTGCAAAAGACTTCGGAGGGGCAGGGTCATTGAAAGACATAAACATGCGTCTGCTTTTTGATAACCCTAGGAACACTAAGATCGACAGAGGCCTAAGGACAGAGTTTGTTGGACTCTCACGCCCAGTTGAAACCAGACTGGATGACTACCAAGACATTCCGAAACTGTAAACCAGAATCACAGAATAACTTAAGAAGCTTTGAAGCTTTTGCACAAACACTCATGAGGCGCCCCCTGCATCACTGCTTTCTCACTTTTGTATGGGCTTCGGTGCGCTAAGTTTTTTATTGTTTTCTTTTGCACTCAGGAAGAGCTGCTGAAAGAAACTGGCTTGAAGCAGAGATTGAGCAAGCTCGAGTCGAACAACGAGCTTTCACGGATCAGATTCAGATTGACGTCCTTGGAGCAACGGTTTCATCACGTAGCCGGGCGAAGACATGCTCCGCTTTTTAGCCCCGACTACTGTATATATTATTATCAAATAGCTTTTCCTTCCCTTCAAGCAGCTATCTATCTATATATATATATATCTCTCTCTCTCTCTCTCGCTCTCTCTCTTTCTCCCTTGCCTCCCTCCCTGCCTGCCTGCGTGCCTGCCTGCCTCCCTCCCTCCCTCCCTCCCTTGCTCTCTTCAGCCATGTGTTTCTGTAGTCTCAACCAGTGCATAGGATCGGTTCATTGTGAGAGTGAGAATCACGTTGCTTTGCTTGAGGCTGGAACACTTCAACAAAAGCTGGGAGAATCACATGGAGTGCAGAGTGCCCCGTCTGTGTATTTGGAGCTTGAAAATAAGCAAGCCATTTCGAGAATTGTGGCTTTTTCAGTGGTGCACTTGGGGATCGGCAACTGGGGGTGCTCATTATTGTTTTCTTCTGAACAAAGGCAATGTCGGGTTCTTCAGAGCCTTTCAATTATGCACATATAGGAATTAGCAGCACCTAGGAATGTAGTGTAGCGAATGAGTAGGGATGCGATGTTATATCATAGTTAGTTAGTTAGTTAGTTAGTTTCTTGTTTGTCTCTAGTGTTTAGCTATCAAGCCTTGCCCACCCTCCCCTGGGGGGAGGGGGTGTAGGGACATGCCTGGTAAATGGCATGGGAGAAAGTCCCTCGAAGGTCCCACGAAGGGGACCTATATAGAGGGCGAGGTTTACGATGATGGAGGCGACCCACAAGGCACAGTGGTCTTGTGGGTGAAGCGCCTGTTCGCCCCGGGAGAGACCGGGAGGACTTTGCATGGGGACGTGGTGACTGCTACCGATCCATATTACAGATGGTGGCTTGCGAGTCCAGACGGGGCAGTCACCACGGTGGACGGAGCATATCATATATGCAAAGGTCCTCCCGCCGAATGTAAAGGCGGAACAGGAGAACATGTGGTCCACTTAGGCAAGTGGCGACAGTGGAAGGAAGAAGAGCTCGTTGACAACAGCGGAGGGATCCTAGATGAGGATACGCATGGACATGTGCAGGCATATTTCAAAGGAGTCCCAAAGGAAAGGCCAGGCGCTGGAGGAGCTGGTGACTTGCCCTGGGATGACCCAGGTGATGATGAAGAGGATGGAGAGGAAGAGAAAGGGAAGAGCGCGCCAGGGCCGTCCGGGAAGGAGAAGGCTGCAATGAAGAGAACGACAGAGAGGAAAGGGCCGGAAGAAGAATTGGTGAAGAAAAAGAAAAGGCTGACAGAGTTGGCCAGAGACTTCAAAGCCCTGAAGACGGAGGTGAAAGCGGCTGAAGTCACCGAGGAAGAGAAGAAAGGTGCAGGCAAGAAGGAGAAAGGGACGGAAAAGAACGAAGAGTGGAAAGGGAAGCCCTCCCTTTTCAGGTGAGATGCGAGGAAGCGCGCGGAAGGTGAAGACTAGCCCGGAACCCGGTGGATCGTCTTCAGAGCCGGATTCCGATGAGGGCTCATCCTCTGACGAGAGTTCAGGGCGCAACCAAAAGCGAACTTCAAGAAGCAGGGGAAAGAAGAAGCAGAGGAGCAAAGGACAGAGTTCTCCGTCAGATCCCTCCAGGTCACAGAGCCGAAGGAGGCAAAGCCACAAGAAAAAGAAGAGAGGCAAAAACCCGACAGATCGGAAGCCGAGGATGATTCGGAATCGGATTTTCAAAAGGCCCCCGCGGGGATGACGCTGTTTCTGAAGTTGCAGCGTTACTCTCAGCGGCACCCCGGCCGGCTCGCGGCCCGTCTCCTCCATACCATGAGGGTAGCGGGGCGCGTCCCCGTGGGGGCCTCGCCACAAAAGGGGAAGAGCGTTCTCAAAAACATCGAGGCAAACGCAGTGTCCTACTACAACGTGGCCTTGGTCCCGAACCTGAAGGCGAAATGGACTCCACGATCCGGGAGAGAATTGAAGTACCTCACAATTCTCCTGGACCTACTGGTCGAGAACAAGTCAGCGCAGGCTGCCGACATCATTGCCCAGAGGATCAAGGCTCTGGAGAAAAGCGTGCAAGACAACAACAGTTGGGTGAGAGCACGCTTCCTCGAGCTGGTGGAGCCAGACGACGTAGCCCTTCTGGACAGGGGGGAGGAGGCAATGATCCAGAAGGAATTGGAGCGGGAGGAAAAGCTCCGAGGACCGTCCGGATGGAAAGGAAAAGGCCATTGGAAGGGCAAAGGGGAGCACGAATTCGGAGCCAAGGGCCAAGGCAAGGGGAAAGGAAAGAGCAAGGAGAAAGGAAAGGGGAAGACGCCGGCCGAGGACGCTGCCGAGAGGAAGTAGATGGTGGCGCCTTGGCAAACCGAATCCCAGCGGAACCCAGTGAACCCCCAGACCCCAGAAAAGAGCTTCAGCGGAAGCGAAAGTCCAAAAAGGATGTTGAGTCGCCCAAAGGTGAAGTGGCATCTTCGGAGGAATATGAAATTGAAGAGGAGGCCTTGAACAGGTTGTGGAAGAAGCGTAGACAAAAGTTTGAAAGAAAAATTGCAGGGTTTCTAGCAGAGGAACGGGATGCATTGGAAGTGGCCTGGCATGTGCTGGAAAATGGGCATCTCAGGACAAAGTTTGGCAGGTTTCGGACGACTTTGGGTCAAAAGGCCACAGCCCAAGATGCCCCTGAGGGCCCCGATCTCCTGCCTATCTCGTTAGATGCCCTAGAGCTACGCCGGGACATTCAGTCTGAAGTTCGGGCGTGGGTCATATTGATGGCTTGGGTTGTACTGCACAGGCTGGGAGCAACCACGCCACATGGATCATCCCGGGAAGCTGACTACGGCGCAGACCGAGATGGTTGATCAGCACTTGGTGCCCGCGGTGAGGCGCATGTGCCCGAAGGGATTGAAGATCCCATCTTATCAGAAACTAAAGGAGCAGCTTCAGAAGAAAGGCTACGGTTATGATGGATCTAGTTGGGTGGTGATGGAAGACCTTGCAGCCGACAAAGTGATTCCATGTTGGCCTAACAAGGGGGAACATCACCAAATTCTTACATGGTGACACAAAGGAGATGGTAAACAAACCACTGCTCACCATCCTTCCGGCGGAAGAATGGCCAGAGACGGTACCCCAGTCGTATGTGCGGGCCTCGAATTCTGAGTGGGAGAGGCTCGTGGCAGAGGGGTTATCAGCTAGGTCTTTTTCAGCCTTGCCCGGAGGAAGAGATCTTGAGAAGCCCCTCCGGTGAAATGATCCTGAATGGGGCCGGAGCAGTCCCAAAAGGGGGAAGATTTATATCTATTTTATGTCCGTTGAATGCGGTGAGCCGCAAAATTGAAGGAGATGAGTCGACCTTGCCCTATGTGGGCCAGGTGGGGCTTTGTGAATTGGAGGCCGAAGGAGCCATAGTTATAGACAGTGAGGATTTGCAGTCGGCCTTTGTTTGAGATGCCACGGGGATGGCGTGGCATGTTCGTGTACCGCAAGCAGGTGAGAGGAGGAGTCCGTGGCTTGCCTCACGATGAGATGACATGGGTCTCGCTGAGGACGGTGCCTATGGGATGGCTCTCCGCAGTGGGGATTGATCAACAAGCCATCAGGACTCTCGCGTTTGAGGAAGCTGGACTCCCCGGACAGATCGAAATTCAAAAGAACAAGGAGCTCCCTGAGGGAGAACGCTTCTTACTTTACTTGGACTCGGTGGATCAGTTGAGGCCGGTCAGCCAAGCAATGAGAAAGGTAGTGGAAGGTGGAGAAGACTTGGCCTGCCCCGCGATGTGCGGGTGCAAGCTTTGCTCTTTGGAGTGCTGCTTGAGGCACGCGCCTTATTGCCCGCATCAAGCGGTAGGAGTTCCATTGTTTTCGGAGAGGTACAGTGGTCCAGAGGCCAGATTGTCGAGAACCATGTTTAAGGCTGGATTCAGAGTGGTTGACCCCATAGATTACAAGTGGGACAGCACTATGGATGTATTCTCGGAGAGAGGAAAAGAATGGTTGCCCATGCCGATGCATCAGACCCAACCCTTGAGCATCACGCTCCGGACAGCAAAACCTTTTCAAGGGCGCGAGGTAGGCCTTATCAGTTTGCCGGAAAATGGTATGAGGGGCCAGTGGCACTGAGGGATGAAAGCCACGTGATGGGGTTCACTTACCTAGCAGCGCATGAGGCAGCAGCGGTGAGGAAAGGAAACAAGATGGCAATGAGATCCATCGCGGGGTGCAGGACCCTCCACGAAGAAGGTCGCTTCTTCACCTTGGATCACCCCCGGCGCTCTTGGATGTGGTATACCAAGCCAGCCATAGACCTGGCAGCTCTTCCAGGAGTGAGGATGGCGATCTTCTCCCATTGCTGTTATGGGGGAAGTGGACAAGCTTACTGACCAACAGCGAGACCATCTACCAAGCCCTTCACAAGCCTGTTTGCCCCCACGGAGATGGGGAGGATTACCCGCCGTACTGGGAAAGCAGCCATCAACCTCATGAACCTGAGTGAGCGCAGGGAAGAAGCCCTTGCCGAAGTATGCAAGGCAAGGTGAAGATCAGAGAAGACCTCGTGAAATATGACCGGCTGCAAAGTCTGGGCTTGCAGGAAAAGGTGGTCAGTGGCATCTTGCATATGGAGAGGACCATGCAAATTGGGTTCGAAAAAGCTCATCTACAGCAACTTCTTCGCCTGGGTCACTATCGTGGCACAGATGTCAGGTTGGCCGTCGAGGAACAGGGAGGACGGCAACTGTGTCCGTACCCAGCCTATAGATGGCTGTGGCGTGACGTGCTGTCATTCAGATGGCGACAGGAAGGGCATACCAATGAGTTGGAATTTCAGGCCTTTTTGGTTCACATTCGCCGAGTGCTGCGGGAGCCTGACATGCGCCACAAGAGGGTGTTTGTGGTCGTGGACAGTCAGGTACCCTACTATGCGCTCGGCAAAGGGCGCTCTCCATCCACTAGACTCAATCGAGTCCTGCGACGTTTGGCGGCTATATCCCTGGCAGGCGACCTGTATACTTTACCGATTTGGACTCTGTCAGCATGGAACTTTGCTGACAGACCTTCCAGACGGTGAGGTGATGCCTAAGGCCCCACAGACACTTCGCTATGCCGGGTTAGCCAAAAAGACAGTTGCAGCCCATCGTCGCGCCCTATCAGCTTTCTTTTCGTATCTTGAAGATGAAGAGATTGAAATGCCCTCAAAGTTTCACCACCTTGATCGCTTGATTGCCCAATATCTGGAGTCCCTATACTTGGACGTTACCCCAATTTCTTACGCAGTGCATTTGTTGAGTGCCTTCCGCCGCTTTGTGCCCCAGTCGCGGTTCAAGATCCCTATTGCCAAACAATGGTTCCCAAACAGGACCTCTGCACACGTGCCCAGGCAGGCAATTCCCATGCCAGCCAATGTGGTTTTAGCCCTTGCCGGGGCAGCGCTTGAGGTGTGGGAGCATGCGCTCGCCGCTTTGTTGCTTCTTGGGTACAAAGCCCTCCGGCGAACCAGTGAGATGACCTCCCTTAGGTTTGATCATGTCAGCTGGAAACCAGGGGAGCCCAATGTGGTTATCGCAATTCCGTTTTCGATGACTTCGCCCAAGCACCCCCAGAGTATCTTGATTCGTGACCCTTGGCTACCTTTTTTACTTATCTTCGCCTGGGAGCGCTCTACTCTGAATCTGCTTTCATGTGGGATGGTTCGACCCCGTCAGGCCCTCCGTTTGCTTTTAGATACTCTAAACCTAGCCTCGGTTGGCTTTTCTGCTTATAGCATCAGGCGTGGAGGAGCCTCTCACGCATTTGCCCACAGAGTTTCTTTTGACTCTCTGGTTGAATTGGGGCGGTGGAACAGCGTCAAGACAGCCCGTTTATACTTGGATTCGGGCCGAGCAGCACTTATTCAAATGCACTTTCCACCTCACGTTAACATGCAGCTAGCTACTTTTGTGGCAAAGGCCACTGTTTTTTGCAAGCAACTTCGTCAGGGGCGCAGGCTCAAAATGGTCTTGTGAGTGCCCGCTAAATTGGGTGTGCCAGCAAGGCGTGGTTAGGTGGTTGGGCGATGCCCTTACCAGGCTCCATGGAGCCTGTGGTAAATGTCTCCTATGTCTATAGGGTGAGTGGGATCACCCTGTTTCGGTCAGTCCTCCTGTAGGTAGAGGAATTTGGTGGCACTTTAGCCTTGTTGTGGCCTTTAAAAGGCGCGTTTAAGCTGTGATATAGGAATTAGCAGCACCTAGGAATGTAGTGTAGCGAATGAGTAGGGATGCGATGTTATATCATAGTTAGCTAGTTAGTTAGTTTCTCGTTTGTCTCTAGTGTTTAGCTCCCTCCCTCTCCTCCCCGCTTGCCTGGTCGGATTGCCTGTCCAGTGTTTGTGCGCGGGGTGTGGGCTGTGGATTCCCTCAGCAAGAGGTGGTTAGGTGGTTGGGCGATGCCCTTACCAGGCTCCATGGAGCCTGTGGTAAATGTCTCCTATGTCTATAGGGTGAGTGGGATCACCCTGTTTCGGTCAGTCCTCCGTAGGTAGAGGAATTCGCTGGCACTTTAGCCTTGCTGTGGCCTTTCAAAGGCACGTTTAAGCTGTGATATATATATATACACATAATATATATATATATATATGTATGTGTGTGTGTCTGTTTGATTGTTTCCTCTCCTTGGTTTTCAAGCATGGAGAGGTGTAAGACTTCTACTGCAACCTGTTTGAGTCTCTTCTCTTGACTCAGGTGTCAAGGGCCGCAGCGTGCCATTGAGCACGGGCCAAACGCTGGGGCGAACGCTGGGGCGAACGTGCTCCCCTGCACGCAATCACGCTGCATCCTGCAACGGGATTATGGAACATTGCCCGCAATTGGAGGCCTTGCAGCAGCAGATGGAAGGGACGACACAAGCTCAAGCCTCCTTACAAGCGCAGGTAGCGGGTGAGTTTGCAATGTACTCCCAAAAAATTGAGAGTCTTGAGGCAGCATGTGCTAAGCACGGAAGGGAGATGGCAGAAGCTCACACTTCCTTCTCAGAGCAGCAGAAGTTTCAGGACGGCACAGTGCAATTGATCCAGGATGAAGTGCGCTATGTTCAGGTGATTGCGAGGAAAATTGATCGCGTCGATTGCAAGGCAGACGACCTCTCAAC